TTAAAAAGTGCAGTGAGGTGTTTTTTTTTCTTCTTACTGTTCATTGACTTTCATGCTTGATTTATTCTTCTGTGCAGTTTGAAGCTGGAGCATGGGAATTTTGACTAATATTAATGGATCACATGTATGACCTCAGTGGTGGCTAAATAAACTTTTTTAATTGGGAGGACAGCTGTCTTTGAAAGTTTTCACAGTTTCCCAGGTGAAAGGTAGTCCATTTGTGAACATATATTATCCTCAGAGGCACATTGCTTGTTATTTAACAAAACTGATGCTCAAGCAGCCGGTGGAGTGATGACGGGTGTGCTCCCGGGGCAGTCCTGTGGGCAGCATGAAGGGAGAAGGAGGGAAAAGCTCGTCTGTAGATGCTTCTGCTGATGTGGCCTGGTAGCTGAACGCTCTTCTGGCAGAGAGCCTGCCTTTGATTAGAAAGCATTCCTCTCAGTGGTTGTAGGTACTGATGGTCTGCCTTGTTTTGTTCTTTGTTGTGTTTGTGCGTGTGCTTTTTCCTGCAGGGAGATAATAGGAGGTGGGTCGCGTATCCTTTCAGCAGCCTTCTGTTAAACTTGGAATACCACGGTTCAAGCAATTGAACAGATGGATAATGGAGACTGGGGATATATGGTAAGTGAGCCTGTGTGAGTGTGTGCTGCGCGGTGCAACTGGGCTTTCAGGATCTCGCAGTAGGAATCCTTCCAGGTCTGTCTTGTGTAGATCTAGAGCTTGGGTCATGTGAGAAGAACAACTGTGCGTGTTACAACAGCTTCCTTACATTCCGTAGAGCACTTCAGCTTGCGTACTGTTCGTGGGGAGAGCTCAGATTTGTATTTCCTGGGCACAATCAGTGAGTACTTCACTGACGCCTTAAGCTCACTGTTACCACTGTCCTAACACACAAAGGCTGAAAATAGTTTGTGCTTCCTGCATATAATTTTAAGGACTTTGTCGTTTTATTTATAAAGAGAAATATTTTTCCTTGTAAACCCTGTCTCAAACTAGACAAACGCATCTTTTTCTCCACTTCTCTTTCTCTAAACATTCTGCTGCCATGCATATGTCTCTCTTCTCTGGCTGGCCTCCGTCCTGGTTGTTAGGGTTGGTGGCCAGATGGGATTTATGTTCCGTTCTCTCTTGCTTCCTTGTGTGCTATCTGCAAGCTGATGCAGACTGGTTTGTGCTCTGTCCCCCCTGCTTCTACACAGCATGCTAATTTGCCAATAAATATTTCTTTTTAGACTTAAAAGCTGAAAGTTCTCTTTTTGTTTTCTTGTTTTAATGATGCCTCTTAAGCAGAGCGGGGATTATTTTGATTGTGAGCTCTTGGTGCTGTGTCTAACTTGCACCGTCATCCTCTTTTGAGGGAGAGAAATAGGCTTAAGACTTGTTCAGCTGATTTTTTTTGGTGGTTTTTTGGTTTTTGTTTTGTTGGGTTTTTTTTTGTTCTAGAATGAGAGACAGATTGTGAAAGTAAGGAACACTGATGGGCCTCATTCAGACTAACTTGTTCTTCAGGAAATCTCTCTGTTCTCATTTCCCCATCTGTAGAATAGGAAAAAACTTGTTGCCCAAATGCAAAACTTGTGACAGTAGCTCAGTTGTTAAGATTTCTAAAGCATTCTGGAAATGTGCGTTCTGAATGTTAAGTATCATCCTGTCTAGCTGCCAGTTGTGCCTCGTTGCTAGGTGGCTTGGGTTTGTTCGGGTTTAAACACCGCTTAAAGGCTTCGAATGGGAGAAGCGCGATTCTCTCCAGAGTCTGCAGTTGTCAGACAGCGTTTGCCATGTGTGTCAGTGAGGTGATCGAATCTTCTGGTGGTGGCTTGATAAACTCTGCAATTTCTCTCTTTCTAGATGACTGATCCAGTCACGCTAAATGTGGGTGGACACATGTATACGACATCCCTCACAACTCTAACGAGATATCCTGACTCAATGCTTGGGGCCATGTTCAGGGGAGACTTCCCCACTGCCAGGGACTCTCAGGGCAATTACTTTATTGACAGAGATGGACCACTTTTCCGTTATGTTCTTAACTTTTTAAGGACCTCAGAGCTCACTTTGCCACTGGACTTCAAGGAGTTCGACCTGCTGCGGAAGGAAGCAGACTTCTATCAGATCGAACCGCTCATTCAGTGTCTTAATGACCCTAAGCCGCTGTATCCCGTGGATACCTTTGAGGAGGTGGTGGAGCTCTCCAGCACCCGGAAGCTTTCCAAGTACTCCAACCCGGTGGCTGTCATCATCACGCAGCTCACCATCACGACAAAAGTCCATTCGTTACTGGAAGGCATTTCAAACCACTTCACCAAGTGGAATAAGCATATGATGGACACCAGGGACTGCCAGGTGTCCTTCACTTTTGGGCCATGCGATTACCACCAGGAAGTGTCGCTCCGAGTGCATCTGATGGAGTACATCACAAAGCAAGGCTTCACGATCAGGAACACCAGAGTCCATCATATGAGCGAGCGTGCCAATGAGAACACAGTGGAGCATAACTGGACTTTCTGCAGACTGGCACGGAAAACAGACGACTGATTCTGACTCCGCAGGAGCCACTTCAGTGATTAGCAACTTAGTTGGACAGTAAACCCGAGAGAGTCTGGATTTTGACTAAAGCAACAATGTGGGCTTTTTTTTATACGACTATTTATTGTTTATCAGTAAGGACCGGAGGAGTTTCGTTCTCTAGCAGCTCTGTCCTTTTGTCCTGTTCAGAAAAAAACCATGCATGTGCCTGTTCGGTCAAGACACCTTTTTGTTTGAAAGAGGGAGTCCGAAGAATTAGTACAATAGGGTGTTTTGTGTCATTAACACAATTGTCTGACGCAATTTTAAAGTGCTAAAATTACCTCCGTTTAAATGGTTTCTAATCCATCTAATGCTACAACACTGGGAGCAAGAACAAAAAGAATTTAAAATGCAGTGGGGGAAAAGCTGCTATCGTGTAGACTAATCTAGTTTCTAAATCAATAAACAGTATTGTAATATTCTAGGAAAACAAATCCCGCCCTTTAAAAGTACTTGATAAGTACAGTTTCTTACAGTTATGACAACTGTTTCTTTCTATGCATATAAATCAAGCAACCAAATATTATCTGTAGCCATGGAAATATGATTAGAAATATTTATATTGGATTCTAAATGCAAAATGTCCCTGTGGTAGAATTCATATTTTTAATGCCTGGTGCAATATTATTCCCAAGTGTAATGCCTGCCAGCAAGAAGCTAATAAAAATGTGAAATACAGAATACTGTTTTGTGGTTTTTGTTTTTGTTTTTTTTTTTTGTCTTCTGAAACTATGAAAAATAGTTAAAAAACCAAAACCAATCAACCAAACACCACCCCACCTCCCCCTGCCACCAGACCATGTTTTTCCACGCTGCAGAGTAGTTCAGATGCTCTGGTAGGGCTTCTTTCTCTTCCACTACTGATGTACTTTGTTCCTTTTTACATTAATCAGTTGATTCAACTGTCCTCAGTATAGAAAAAGCTTGTGCTCCGAAAACTGCGTTATGGCTGACAAAAAAATGGCAAGTATTTGTACCAGCTAAAGGGGTAGGGATGGAGGGAACACAGAGCCTAAATACTCGTAGCTGCTAAGTATTGTTACCTGGTTTGTCAGCCATTTATCTGGTGACTTTGTACATAATTTTAACTGTAGTGCTGTTTCTGATGATGTTCAAGTCAAGACACTCAAATTCTGTATTTTTACTCAATTTTGTATAGCCATTTCTGCTTATCATGGGCACTTTATCATAGTTATAGCATAATGAGGAATTGCATTAATAACTCGCGTGCTGTTGGGAGTAAGAGAGTTGATGCCCGTTTTGATGAATCGGTCCCGTTCTCCCGAGAAGCTCTTGTCACAGTGTCCCTCACCTCAGCCACTTTGCTCTCTGGGCTGTGTGGACCACAGCTCTTTGGGGATGTAAAAGCAGGTCTGGATTTTTAAGGTGGGAGCTTTCCATCCCGTCTCTCCCTCAGAAGGCCTGTCTCGGGGGTGTGTTTGCCATATTTTGCCTCCCCCTCTTTGTACATTGCAGGGTTTTTGACTTTGGTAATAAGAGGCAGTAAGAGCTTTATTCTCCTGATAAGGGGGGAAAGGGAAGCTGAACTGATGAAGCTCAGGAAAAGTGGTTGTTTCTTTCCTGCAACACGTGGTAAGAAATATCTGTGTTAACTGGCATTGAATTATAAGCACAAGATGTTCTTTGCAACACTTCATTTACTAGCAAATTAATGACTGGCCTGGATCAGCCTGCCCTTTCCATAATTATGAAGTATAATAATTAGAGAAGCAGTATTCCAAATAATACATTTTATCAGAGCCCAAGATTTGTAGAAAGACAGTGTGAGTGGCTCTATTAATGGGAAAGTAAATTCTGCAGACTGGACTTGGCATCAGCTTTGACTGAATCTTCATTAGCCAGGAATATTCCACTGCTGAGGAAGTTAAAGAGCTGTCTTAATTGTCCAAACAGATGTGCTTCCTAATATACGTATTGATCTAAGAGAACGAATTGTTCCTAGAAACCAAGGACAATAATTTTACCTTCGTCAGATCTTTCAGTAAAGTTGTGGTGGTTTTTTTTTTCCCTTTGAAGGCACTGTACAGTTACAGCACACTGAGGGGGAGCTCATAATGTGGTGTTTTGTTTTGTTTTTTTTTCTGTAATTGTCATATGGTGGATTTAGAAAAAGAACAAGGAAGCCAAATGGCATCGTTTTGATGCTGTCAGGACACTTCAGGTTAGAAAGCAGCGAACGTTCAGCTCTTGCTGACTGGATCGCCTCACGGCCGTGGGTACCACTCAGAATTGTCTGGCTTCTGTCTCATTAAATGCAAGTGGCTGGCTGAGAATCTTGTTTCATACTTCTTGCAACTGCAAGTAAGTGACTGATTATTAATTCTGATTAGTCATTACCGATGCTTCATAAATGTACTGCTGCACAAAGAACAGGAGGAAATGTGCGGCCTTCACTGAGATCATGGTCTTCATAATTTCGATAGCTTGTTGTGAAGAAGCGGCTTCAAATACCTCTCGTAGGCTGGGCTCATCTGTTCAGAAAGAGAACGTGGAAGGGAAGTAACGGTAATTAACAAGATGGAAAAGGCTATGATTTTTTTCTTAAGAATGATCTCTGGAATATAGAAAGCTAGACTATTAAAAAAACCCAAACAAAACAGCAACCCAAAAAAACCCCAAAACACCACCAAACCACCAGCTACTTCAGCTGCGCGCAAGAGCTCTTGCCCTATAGATGTGCTGTCCTTCACAGCCGGTACACAGGACTCATCCCAAGTGGGACAGCATACTATTTAACTTCAAAAGATATGCTTGGACTTGAATGTTTGCTGAAGGCAAATTTCGTGTTCAGCTGTAGAATTTCAAAGGATTGCTGATTACCATAGTAAAAACCTCACTTAAGGCAAAATGAGTTTTCAAACAGAGCAACAGCTATTTACATCGTGCAGAATTTTACATTACTCCGCAATATGGATGAATTAAGAAGTGACAGTAAAGTGCTAAAGACCATGAAGGATGAAATTGCCTTGTTTGGCATTTATACTCTTTCTGGTTAAACATATTATTAAAAAAAGTAAGTATTGCACTAGTAGAAGTACCAGGATAGAAAATATCCTGCATTTAGTGGCTCTTGCAGCCATCTAGTGTTGTTCCATAGTATGTAAGCTATGTAAACAGACTTTTGTTTTAGCTTATGTTGGATAATGTTACCTCAGTGACGAAAGTTTAAGGACACATTGGTGGCACATGACAGTCCTGCTCCCTGGTACAAGCTCTGGTACTCTGGGGGATGTAGTTCATTGTTAGGTTAAATACCTGAGCTAAGGCTATAGGTGGCATAATTGGGAGCATTACAGGTCATTGTTCAGTGTGAAATACTGAGAATGAAAAGCTCTTATTCCACTTTTATCTGTATTGCTTTTATTAAAAGAAAAGCAAAAAAATCTGCTCTGGCTAATGCAGAAGTTGCCTGGCTGTAATCCAGCATCCGTACCTTGTTGGTTGGTGACTTCTGAGCCCACTCGTAAAGCCGTTGGTAAACCTGCCCGTCGTAACTGCCAAGCGCAGAGTTCAAGCTCTTATCTGTGAAGTCAAAAGCGTCCACTAGTGGAACAGCGTCCTTCCTACGGAGCAGATGAGGGACAGTCACGTTACTGAAGTGGGTATTGCTTTGTAAGGGAGGAAAATAAGTCAATGGTGAACTTGAAAGTCAGTTGTCCAAGTCCCTCAGCCTAAGATACTTGTGCCAATCTTCCCCCTTACCTACGCTGTGGGGAAAATCCTGCTTGATTTGATTCCTCAGGGGCGTGTTCTGCTAACACCCTGAGTGGTCTGTATTGTTGAGTGGTTGTTTGCAGGGTCTTGTAACTACCTGGAGTCCATCCCTAATTCCCTAACTTAGGGCTTAGTCTTCTATCAGATGTTTTCTCGGCAGACTCTGCCAGTTCTTGCTTTTGGTTTTTGTCAGGTTTTTTGTTTGCTTTTGTGTTCTTATGCTGTGTGTCTTACAAAACAGAGTAAGGTTGCTGCTAGATTGATGTGAAGTGCTTTGCTGATCTCCAGGCTTCATCTACTCTTGAGTACTTCTGTCACCTCATCACGCGCTGTCCAGGTCTTCTGGTCTTTTTGTGTCTGTAAGAACAAAGCAACCCTGAACTGCACCAGGGGCCAATCTGACCGCAGTCAGCAGCAGACAGCTAGAGCATGAGGACAAGTATGTAATGACCGTATCATCTCCTAAGCAGGAGATGGTTTCTTCTTCGTTCTGGGTGTGGGAAGCTGTGCTGGCTGTACCCCCGCACCTCAGGTACAGGGATGCAAAAGGGTTTGCTCAAATGTTGCGTTTGCATCTACCAGTTCCTTTTGGGGAAGGGCTCTTTGAGGGTTTGGGAGAGGCTGGGTGTTGCTGCGGACTGGGAAGTGTTTGTGTCCTTTCTACTAATTATAAATAACTGATGCTGGTTACCCAGGTAAACATCCACTCCATTCTTGAATCCTGTTAACAAGGCATGGACTAACACAGAGAAGTTGCAAGGAATTCCAGAGACAGCAAAGTGTTAGGCTTTTCAAAACACTACGTTAACTTGTTGCTTGTTTTGAATTCTGTGATCAGTTCTGAAAATGCTTGCTCTTTGGCTCAGTCCTGTTCAGCTCGTGGTTATGGTGTGTTCTTGTTTCCCTCCAGGTGGCTTAAGTAACATTTTACATACAGTAGCAAGTCAGTTCTCTGCGCTGTCAGTTAGTCTGTTCTTAAACAGCACCGAGTAGTGAAAGGCGAAGCCTTTGTCAAAAAGCCTTTGTGAGTATTGTGGTAAGTTACATCCTTAGCATATCTCAGAATTCACATAGTTAGTAATAAATGGTGTCGAGCAGATGCATCTGAACTAGCTGTAGGCAGGATTGTTTGGGTACCAGTTGCAACTCAACCATGGCAACAGAGTAGGCTGTATTAGCTGTGGCTTAAGCAGATTTTGCAGTGTATGATCGGTTGCTGTGGCTGCCTCCTGCCAGTGCTGCTCTGACTACATGTTTTCCTGCTTTCGCTCTACTGCAAATGGTAGAAAAGTGTTCAGGATTTCCTGATTTATAATTTAAGATTTCGTATTGCAGAACTTTTAATTTGGAGATTGCAGAGGAGCTGGACACAGCAAAAATATTTTTTTTTGCTGTGAAAATGAGCTCCATGTAGATGTTTCAATCCATTTCTAGTGCTGCCAGGCAATGAAAATAAGAACCGAATTAGGTGAATTGACTTTGGAGATGTTGCTATAGGTACAGCAGCACCATCTTATAGCTATCACAGGGACAAACTGAATAGTTGTGTAAATCTCCTCTCATGCTAGAGCAGCTCACCGAATGACAGCCAGGAGGTCCAGGTATGATGCTGTGACCATGTCCATTTGAGCTCCAGATATGTATCCGTCGTGCAAGAAGAGTCCTGCATTCGAGAAGATCCCGTGTAATGCAAAGAGGTCACAAAGATGTTTTATAATCTTCTGGATGCCAGCCTGGGTCTCGAGTTTTTCCACAGTTTCTGCAAAGTTCTTCACTGTGATGTAGTGGCAGTGAGCCTGGAAAACAAATGCAATCAACAGTGAATGCACCTCAAAACACTTTTAGTAGGGCAAGTGACTCAGGCGTTCTTGCAAAGAATATAAAACCTTTTCATTTCCCTGGCACTTTTCCAGTCTGTATTCTTTGTTTGCTGGTTGACCAGGCCTTTTGCATTCATGTCTTACAGCAACAGCAGAGAAGAGAATTGGGGGTGTAAGCAGTCAACACTGTGGTATTTGTAAACTCTAGAAAACTGCTTCAGAAATCATGGTAGTACTTACTCTAAATATTTCTGAGGAATATCCCAGAGTTTGTGTGATGGAAACACACCAGGGTGTGCATGTGTTGACCCCCTAGCAAGTGAATCTTGGTTATACGTCAACAGGAGAAAACTCTTCTATTGAAGACCTTGGGCTCATGGTACGTTGGGCTCTGTGTCTGTAGGGCTTCAGCTCTGAAAACATCTGTTGTCACAGAAGAACAACGAAAGCTACCTCTTGCTTTTGTGGTTTTAAGTAAACTGGTAATTTCTGGGTCAGACACCAGTACAGTGTCTTAACTGCCAAGTTACAGAAATCCTAGCTGAGGTCCAGAGCCATTGAAGCAGCCTGACTCCACCTGTTTGTGGGGGTGACTCTTGTTGTGTTGACATTACTGCGAGCGGGTGGTGGTGCTGGTATGTGTGTGGGTTCACTCCCCCACTGTCCAGTTCCCCTCCCAGCTGTGGGTGTAAGCACGGCACATCTGCACTGCAGCTCTTCCTGCTGGCACGGTCAAGCAGCGTGGAGGCCAGCGTGGACTGCAGAACCTGCCTGAGAAGCTGGGTGTCTGCTCAAGCAATTAACCCACGTGGAGTCTGCAGGAAAGCTGTACCCAGTGTCTGAGCCACTCAGCTGAGGGCTGGCGGGCGTCGGTTCGTATAGCTGCTGTGCCAGTCGTGTGGGTGAGTCTCCAGGGAAGGTGTGGAGTAAGATGTAAATACAGAAGTACCCCAAGAAGGCAGCAGGCTATCAAAGTTTTAAAGTTATGGGGGAAACTCAAGGGGTTTGGGTGACTTTTCCTGGAGTATCTGTGAACTGGGGGCTCAGATCCCATTTTCTGAAGAGTCTAGCAGCACAGTCGCCACTGACGATGCCACAGCCAGCCCTCTGCATGTGTTGGGCTCTTCAGAAAGAGTTTATTTCTGACTAGTCCTGTGTCTAGGTTCTCCTCCTTGCTGGGTTCCAGCTCCTCCTCTTGACACGTGGTCTCCCCTGTTCTTTAGTCCAGAGACCTCAGCCACCCATTTGAGTGGGTGCAGGAGGGAACGACGTGTTCAGGTTTGTGTGCGGGGAGCGCTGGTCACAGCCTTTTCTGGAGGTAATCTCAAATAGGAACATTTTACTTCAGTTTCATTCCACTAAAAATATATTTACACTGAAACAATTGTGGGAAAAGTAATTTTTAAAAGTCTCTTTGTTTATAGGTCTCCTTTATATTTGAGACAATTACACAGTTTTTCTGCTCTTTTTCAAGCTTGCAGCACTCAATACCTGCTGCTTCCACTGTGTAATTGAAAGTGGGGGGTGATGCATGGCAGACAGGTGACCACAAAAAATGCTGATGCTGAGATCAAGTCTTTGCTCCCTTACTCGGTGATTTCTTGTTTTGAAGGATTATGACCATGCTTACCAGTACAAGCAGATCAACGCTTCTGATGGTTTCGAAAGGATCTCTGCTGTTGCTGAGAAAGAGTTTGACTCATCAAGGACTTAGTCTAATTGACTGAGTACAAGGAGGCTGTTCCCTACTGTGAAATCACCCAGATGGTATCACCGCAGTTAGGTACGTGTAGGACTCCTTTTCCCTGTCAGGGGCTTCTTGCTAAGTCCATTTCAGTTTGGGTTTGCTCTGGCTGAATGGTAGATTACAACAAGATGTTTTTCATTAAAAATTGAATGAAGTTGAAATAAGCCGTGGATCTGTTTCAAAATCTTCCTTTCCTCAGGGAAGGAAGGAAGGAAGACCACCACAATAAATGAGAGGAATTGCACTTAATTGCCTATGAAAAAAATAACTCTGGTTTTTGAAGATAACTAGGTATCAGTGGATTTGGTTTCATTTAAATTTGGGGCTTTTGTCCCCTCTTGCTTTCTTTTCTGCTTAGTTTCGTACTGACTAACCCTGTTATGGGGAACAGATGCTGCTGTCCTGATCCCACTTCAGCTGAAGGCATGCTGATTGCCTGTCTAATCCATGTGAACTGGGAGTTGGGTTTGAATCTCTTACTAATTTGACTTTGATTTGATTTTTTTCTTTCGCTAGTAAACATTGCACTTATCACTGCTTTTCATTGTTTTCACTGCAGTTAGCTTTCCTTGTGAGAGTGGCAGATGTCAGAAATACCAGGCATGTTTCACCCTTACTGTGACTCCATCAGCTTTCAGTAGGGTGGCTTTGGGGAGGCTTTTCTGTGGGAGCCAGGAACTCTGGACTCAGAAAAAGACGAGCATTAACTGGAGATGGTGGGTTCTTGTTGCAGGATGTGGCAGGTCTGATTCTGCTAGTAGTGGCAGCGTAACCTTGAATGTTTTGGGGGTTTTTCTCCCTTTCATTTCTACTCCCTCAAGTCTTTTTCTGCCTGGCCTATTCAGATGACAAATTCTTCAGATCAGGAATTGCTTCTTACTGCAATTTTTCCACCATGCAGACCACAGTGGTGCCCTGATCTTTGTGGTGTCCCTTAGATGCTAACAGAAAACAATAAACAGGGCTAAGACTTTAAGCTAGTCATGCTGTTTCTTTTGCATATTGTATCATAAAGACAAATATCAAATAAGCAGATGAATTTTGCTAACCTTTGCAGCCTGAGCCAGCTGTACTGTGCACTGGTTCCACGCATCGTGCTTTTTGGCTCCAGACTGAATCAAGTCCTGTAGTTTAGCTGCCGTGCTGCTTACAAGTCTGGAAAATTGAAAAAGCATATTGTATGTGAATATAGCAGCCCACATGCGCTCATTTCATACTCAGACTTGTGTGCGATCGTATGGCAAAATGACACTTCTGACATTTGAAGTTATCTGCACTCAGTATAGGCGAACTTAGATTATGCAAAATCTACGTACAAACTGGGAGAAGCACCCAGACCACCCTGGTACTGAAGAATTTCGCCTTCTCAGCTTCCAGGGTAGTTTACCAGGGGTTCTGCTGAGTTTTTCTTGGGTTGTGTATGTGTAAGGCGAGTTTTCAAAACAAAACAAAACAGTGATAAATTGGACTGACGTTACATTATGTTTCTGCTTTTCTACACAGGGATCCAAATCCTGCTCCCATTGACAGCAAAGCTTTTGGGAGAATGGCTCTGTTTTTACGCTGATTTGAATGACAGCAGCGTTGTCTGTCTGTATACCTGGTTTTCAGAGATGATGCCTATATGGCCCATAACTCTGCACATAATACTAATGAGATCACTCAGGATACCATTTTTATTTGTGTTGAGTAGTTGAAAGGCTACGGACAGGATGAGAGGCTCTGTGTTTGCTGTGGTGTTAATTGAAAGCAAACATCAGTTTCAGAGGTATGTGGGATTTTGACTTTCTGTATAGAACTGCACAGTTGCCTAAAGGCTTTACTGGATGGCACCTCAGTGATGTGGTCTGGGATTTACTTAAATAGTGCCATCAGCTCGGTGTAGAATCAGCTCTATGGAAAAAAATTGTTAGGTAGCACGTGGCTTAATAAACTTGTGATGTTCTGAATGTGAAAGCTTCGTATTGAGCATTTGACGTGGCTGTTAATCCCATGTGAGTCCTCCTTTTCTATTTCAGGAGCAGATGGTGTAAATTCTTGTGTAACTTACGTTATTTTACCTCCCTTTAAAGCAAGGAAGAAGCTGAGCTCTTGATGCATTTCTGATGTCAGAGAGAAACGCCGTCTCTTGTCCTCCATACTGACCTGGCTGCCATGTGTTGATAGGCCTCAGTGTAAGTGTCTGGGCTGAGAAAATCCAACTTGCTCTTGGCTGGACAATTCCCAGGTTTCACTGCAGCCAGGTAAGTGACAGATGGCGGAACAGGCTGGCCAGTGCTGGCTGCCGTGAAGCACTTAATCAGGAACCTGGGAAGAAAGTAACAGTCAGAGCAGGGTCTGGTTGTGATCCCCATGTAGCAAATGGTCATGCAAAAGTAAAGTGGGCTCGGGTGAGGAGCAGGGAGGTGTGACCCATCCCATCAGTGGTCCAGAATGGACTTGTTCAAGTCATGACCTCCTGTTTTGTATGTTGTTCGCAATAACCTGATCTGTGATGGGTCTCAGGGGTAGCCTGTCTACCGTATTTAATGCTACAGCAGTTTGTAGCGATGAATTTTTAGGAAGAAACTTGCTGTGGCCGTTAGCAGTCTCAGCAGCATGGTGATTAGATACATTATCAGCTTTGCAGCCCGAGTCTTAATGCCCTGGGAGTCTTGATGGTGGTTTGGTCTCACCCTCTGTGATCCCCAATACAGTCTCATTTTGTTAACAAACATGAGACCCTTTTTTGGAGCTAAACATGCGTCTAAGGAGCATTCCCCACTCCCTTATTCTTTTGGTCCCTCCGCTATGACCTAGACTGACCAGGTCTGGAAGTAAAAGGTTACAGCATTTATCTTGTCCTTGCTATTGACCTTGCAAGAAGAGGCGGTAACGAGTGCACAAGTGTCTGCGTGCAAGCACAGAGCTGTGTGGTAGCACCTCTGTCCCTGGGAAGTGTACTGGTTTTCCCCTTCTAGTAAAAACGCATGTTATTAAAAGTTTAAGCAGCTGTGATTTCTTTCTCCTATGTTTCATCTGCTCTGAATAATCATCAGTCTGCGTGTTCGGAGGAAAGTAGTGTTCTTGGAGCATGAGTCATCTGCTTTCAGTATCCAAGAACTTTGCCTCCTCTGAATCAACCTCACTTTACCAATATCATGTTACATCGATTGCTTAAAAAACAAACCACAAAACTTGTATAGCAATGCTTTTGCTGCACTACTAGACAAAGAGGAAAATGAGGTTATGCAGAACAGCACCTGCATACATTCCAAAACCAAAAACAGAAGAGAAAATCTGGTTCCCACACACCTCTATGCCTGCTGGACAGAAGACATGAATAGTTTATGTCCTGAGCTGTATTTTTAGAAGGTGCTGTAAGAAAGGAGTAGCTGGTTTTACTGGTTTTGGAGAAGAAGTAGAGGTTGAATAAATGAGGGGGCAGGCTTTTAGATGAACAGATTTGAATTGTTACCTGGCAGTTTGCAGGAGCAAAATAGTGTTTTCCCCTTCATAAATACAAGAGGCAAGTATTTTAGTGTACAAGGAAGGGAGTCCACTCAGCAAGGAATAACCATGTCCTCCACATGCCCGGAGGCAGATCTCCACTGCTGAAGTGCTATACTGAGTAACCATGGCTTTGAAGCCTGAAGAAAATGCATGAAGCTGTTTAAAAAAAAGAAAAATAAAGGCAGAGTGTTAATGGTGAAAGTATTCTAAAGCAATCCTCAAAATAAGTTTGCTTTTTTTAATGTGCAATTTCTGGGCATGACATCGCTGTCAGACCCTCGTTTGGGTGCTGGTGTAGCACTCGGCTCCCTGAGCCTGGCCTTGGGTTTCTGCCTGGGCTGCTGCACACCCTCGGGCACGCTGTGGTCAGTTTATGCATTTTTGGGTTTCTCTCAACAAGGCTTTGGCCACCCTTGTTCAGAGTGTGTTTTCATTTTAGGCTTCCCATTGCAAAATCTTCTGTTCTATCTAAAAAGTCACGGTTTTGGTTTTGGCTCAGAAATCAATATTTCCATGTATGTTTGTAGATGAAGTTGTGAAATAATGCTTTGTGCCACCAACTACTTGGAACAAGGTTTTTATCAAATGGACTTGCTTTTCAAGGACTTTTCACTCTGCAATAGTTCCCAAAATGGAAAATTTGGGGTGGTAAAGCAAATGCTGTTGCTGACTGGTTGTGAACCTAGGACGTGCCGTTAGATCTCTTAGTGCTTCCTCTTTCTCCAGTTATCTAGTGGTGAGAGGAATGCTTGTCCAGCTGGCTAAAATACTTTGATATTTCGAGATGAGAAGTGCTGTATGAGCTAATCCTGCTGCAGCTCACCTCTGGCAGCGTGTCGAAGTTCTTCTTCTGGATGTCTCTGTACCCCCTGTCGAAGAGGTTCTGCAGGTAGTTGTTGATGAAATGAAAGGCATAGGCTGCTGCCAACTGGGGCAGCAATTTCTCTTGCTGAGTCTGGTAGTCAAGGATTTTTGCTTCTTCTTCCCTGTTGGAAGACAGCTAATGAATTAGGGAAAGTGCAGACACATGCAGCTACTGTTAGTTTTACTTATTGCATAATGAAAAGTGGCGTTTTTCATTACCGAGAAGCAGTACCTGAACAGGACTGAGCTGATGTCGTGGCAGCAAATCTGCCTCGTTTGCTAAGCTGTTAGAGAAACAAGCCTGGCTAGGAAAAAAGGGATTTTTCTGCTGCGTTGGTGAACCAGCCTAACAGAGTAGAAAAGGCTCCGTGTGATCTGTCAGTACAGAGGTGGGGGACCAGGGACTGTGGGAGAGGATGAAGATGAAGCCTTCAAGGATAGCAAGTTGTAAGGTGTTATAGGGGAGGCGGTGGCGCTGCACCCTGAAAAACTTTCGCTTTTCAAACTGGATCTTTGTGGCCATCGATGCAGATAGATTTCTCTGAAAATATTTGAGTCTAAATTATTTTAAGCTTTCTGAGCTTTTTTGGGATGTTCTTTACCATTTTTGCTGTGGTTAGTACATTCAGGACTTCAAGTGATGGAATTGGTTATTACAATAGTTCAGCATGCTGGGCTCTTGTGTTTGGTTTGTGTTTGAACCAAACCACGTTCTCATTAGCATCTACTTGCTTTTGAAAGGAGATTCAAGTAGAAATTTTTGAAATCCATTCAAATGAAAATACCTATTTAAAAAGCAGAGATTCTTACCAGACTAATAAAATTCAGTGCTGTAAAGTGTGGATATAGAATTGTGGATGTAGGAAGGTATTTTAATGTCGTGCCCACTAGCAGAATGCTGTGGAATGAGAATTCAGCAACTTGTCCACTTTGTCTGGATTCTGCTGAGTTATGGGATTTCACGGGAAGGCCAGTTATAAGGAAAATAAATTGCCTGTATGAACCGCTGAGCTATTCAAACTATGAAGCTTATCTTAGAAAGAACTGTAAACATTCTCTTGTACTTTGACTGAAGCTCGTTAATGTAAATAATGGGGAAGCATGTTCGTAATACCCTATCTGGGCCAGGAAATAAGCCAGTGATGTGCTTGAAAGATAAGATGAAAAGTAGAAATAGAGACTGGTGCGAGGGAACACGGTATATGGTCCCCTTCCCACTGCTGTGGACTTGCGTGGCGTTACCCAGGCTTCAACTTGGACTGCCGGCGAACCACGGAGTATCGGATGGCAATGGTGCAAGCTTTCATCAGAGGTATTAGGACTTGGTCCGAAATGAGGGAGATGCGCACTGTAGTCATTGTGAAATAATTAATCTTCTTTGACCCCTGTCTTACATAGGTGCCATCTGGTTGAACCTAGAGTAGGGAGAGGATGTTAGATGCCACCTTCTTCAATGCTTCAGTGCTAGGGTGGCTGTGTAATCTCTATGTGTAAGATAAAATGGACATCGAGATCCTTCACTGAATGCAAAACGAGGTATATTTGTGTATGATGGATGAAATATAGCCATTTGAAGAGACAAACTCTTACTGCTTCTGCCTCAGATGGTTCTGCCTGCCCCATGATCCCCAGCCTCTGAAAGTAGAATTCCTGACACTGAGTTTCACTTAGGATTCGGGTAACTTCTGCCCTTGGTAAAACCACAGAGACCTGCAGATACCTCAAAAGAAGATTTTTGTCCTAAATTTAGGCAGGTCCCTGTCATCTCGCTGGCTGTGCAAGAGTCTGATGGGTGAGTCGGTGATGTGAGACCGTACATACCTCGCAAAACTTGTTCAGCATGTTCTCCCTGGGGACATGCACGTTCTGCAGCATGAGGTAGCCGTTGTCAGTGTGCTCAAAATTCATTTTGGGACCGATGTCTCCTGCAGTTATGCCTGCAGTGAGGGAAAATGCAGCCTGCTTACTTCCACTAGAACTTTTTTCTCCCCATTTTGTATTAGGCTGGGGATCTCAAAGGAAGGGCCTGTTCAGCTCTGCTTCTTCCCCAGCATGCATGGTCTTGCCTGAGGCATGAAACAGGCGTTCAAAAGCCTTGTGGTAGTTTGTTTCCATGATCCATCTGTTACCCATGTTGGCTGGGATCGAACTGAGGTGTTAATGCAGAGGTGGTCAGAGCAGCCCAGGCTTCTGGTTAAGAAGGCACGGTCTGGATATGCCTGAGGATACATTATATCTTCCTTTAAATAAAAAAGTTGGGGTTAATGATAAGTGTGTCTTGGTTATCTGTCTTGGTTTGGTTTTGGCAATTAGAACTCTCTCTCCCTTGGGCCCAATGTTTTAGAAGACATTTAAGGGCAAAATAGGCAGAGCACCTGCACAAGTGCTGCAATGTCTGGGGTGGTTTACCTGGGCAGAGTGAATGGTCCTGAAGGCTGCGTATCTGCACGATGAAGGGATGCACGCCATAGCACTTCCCATGGATGTACAGCTGAGCAAAGACCATCGTGTGAGTTGCTGTCCTTCCCACTGCGAGAAGAAAACCAGCCACATTCCCTTAAGACAAGGTACAGTACAAACCCTTCCACGGTTAACAGCAGTCACTGCTAGTTGTGTGTTAGGTCTCGCTAATGTATGGATCAGCATAGGTGCGATCCACAGGTGCTGGAAGCTGGAGATTGCCTAAATCTGTGCTCTGAGCCTTGCTCTTGGCTCTCAGAAGTCACATCATCCTTCTGCCTCTGTTGCTGCTCTTGGGGCTTGGATGAACAGTTTGTATCAGCAGATGAGAAAAAACAAGTAGTTAAAGTTCACGCAGTGCTGAGAGAGTGGGAAGTGCTGTGGCTGTTAGAGTAACTTCAGTTATTTTCTGTGAAATACCTTCCTGAAGGGAGCCATGAATTTCACACTTGAATCCTTTATGCTGAGACTGGCTGATGACTCGAATCCTTTATGCTGATGACATCCCTGCAGTTTTTGGTCATCTGACTGTCATTTACAAAGAAGAGAAGATTGATGCCTGCTGAGGCAGGAGTTTCCCTGAGCAAAGTTCTCCTGCCCTGCCAGCCAAGGGCTTTTGACAGCAATGGTGGTTCCCTTCTGGCCTTTGTACTTGTACAAACCCCTTTGCCTCTCAATGTGTGCATCTCATACCGAAGTCCTCTGCTAGCACCTGGGCCCTCAAACATGGAGCTTGAGCAGGGCAGAACAAGTAACTGAAAGAGACAAATGAGGAAAACCAAAGTATTTTCTGTGGTACTTACTGTCTCCAGGCCACCACTTCATGGCAGAGATCTTTGGTGTGTTCAGTATAAACTCCTGTGTAGCGACATCAAAGACTGCTGTTGTTTCCAAACCCTGAAGATAAGTTCCTTAAAAATAATAATAAAAAAAAGTCTCCTGGTGTATCACAATGATGGAGAGAGTGAAGGATCCCTGGAGCTGCTGTGGGTGTTACCAGGGTTTTGTGGTTTACCCTCCTGACGAGAACCATAGGACGATGCTCCCAGTGACCCCACACCATCTCCTGCAAAGATCTCTTGAGCCACGTGGTACTCAGGCAAGCTGCCTGGTTGATCCCCTCCACCAATGGTGACTGCCTGCTATCTAACCATGAGTTTCACCCTCACTCTTGTTCTTTTTTCCACATTGCAAAACCAAAGCCAGCACATCTCCAGCTTGCTGAGGACATCAACCTCTAACACGCAGGTGGCATTTACCCCCCCAGCCACCCCTACCCCAGTAAGGCATGGGCAGCTGGAACTCAAATTCCCCCGAGAATCTGGGTCAGAGCCTTTTGTCCTATGGAAATGCTACGTTTTCTCTGCAGCCTTACCGTGCCCCAGTTCGGTCTGGGCATAGCTTCCGATGAGCTGATACTGGACGGCGAGAGGAATCCATTTGGCGATCTGTTTCTTGGAGCCCAGCACTGTAATACTTCTCATGAAAACGCGGTGAAGGAGAAACGCGATTTCTCCTGACAGTGCCCTGCGGAGAAGGCACAAGAGGTATTTTTACACGGATGGAGGCCCAGGATTGTGATGAGTGAGGCAGTGACAATGCAGTGTCACCAGACAGTACCAACTGCTGCCTTTTGATTTCTGCGTTGTCCTGCCTTACCCGAAGTCCAGCATCCACACAGTATTGCAGGAAAAGTGCTCTTTCAACTGCTTTTGTTCCTTCTTTCATAACATAGTTTGCTTAAGCGTTGCTAGCTCATTATTTCACTTGCTCTTGGAGGAATTATTTGTTCTGAGCAGCAGATGCTGAGCTCCTAAAAACACAGCCTAGCTCCAAAGCTCCTGTGGCTCTGATAGCTTGTGAGCCCTTCCTATCTTTATTTTACTTCATAGGATTTTTTTCCTGATTGTTTAAGTCATTTTAAGGCTGAGCTAAAAAAACCCCACCTCCCTGCCCTAAAACTCCCAAACCCTGGCAATTCACTGTGGGGTGCGTTAGACTGAATTGCATACGTAGGCACCTGAGACCTGGATTTCCTGAACCTTCCCATTCCCATTCTGGGGAAATAACTCGGTACGTTGGGTTTGTTGCTATACTATTCCCTGGGTGTTTTCTGTCCATCACAGGCAGTGAACAATAGAATCATAGACTCATTTTGGTTGGGAAAGACCTTTAAGATCATCAGGTGCAACCATTAACCTGACACTACCAAGCCCACCACTAAACCATGTCCCAAAGCACCACGTCTATATGTCTGCTGGGGTTCACGGAGATTTGGCCTGACTTTAGATGCTTTTTTTTTCTTGTGGAAAACTTCAAATACATCCTTGTGACACCTGGATTATTGTCTGGTCAGGTCCTTCGCCATCACCATCTGGTAGGGCTGCATACATCCTAAAAAGCACTATTCTAGAAGCTGTGTATGGGAACTTGGGTACGGTAATTTCCACAGTGAAGATCAGAAACGCATTTGTTTTAAGGATTTTTTTTTGTGCGAGAAATCATAAGAAAATATGAGGAATATAGTCCCTCTTCCTGGGATTCCTCAGAATATGGTTGAGTCACCTCACGGATCTAAGTACATGTGCTCTCACACGTAAAAATAAGTGGCTCTGCTGTTCTCAGTAGGTTGTGTGGCTGTTAGCACATTGCTTTACTGCAGTGCTCTCATTCTAGACAGGTACCTTTTATTGTTAACAAGTGCCTATGACCTTTCTTTTACACGGGCCCTGAGAGAGAATCAGTCATGCTGAAAAAGTAGAGGGAAAAATATGAACAGAGAAGTTAAAGGGAAATTGCTTTGATTAACAGAAAAAGACTTAATAAACCCTTGGAAGCCTATCCAGAAATAATGTTACTTTAACTGCAATTTTCAGAGGCTGGCTTTTAAATCTGTGCAAGGGATTCACTGTGCCTGACACCAGGACTTTGTCAGTAAGAGCTTGGTGCTCACCTGGTGTTTCATCAGCAAAGAGCTGTCCTGCAAGGCGGCTGTGCTCTGAATCCAGCAAAATGTGGTAGCGCAGGGCTGGCCTTGCCTGGTCTCGGGGGCCTGATAAAAGCAAGCCTCGGTGGGAGAGTTTTGTCAGGTTTTTGAAATCTGCTGGGATTTTTTTTTCCCTCTGAGGGAGGAGTGGAAAGCTGCTTTTTATTGGTAATACAATGATCAGGCCCAAGATCTTTTGATGGAAATTTTCTCCCTTTATCAGTCCCACTCTCTGTAGGTGGCAAAGAGCTTAATGAAAAAGTCTAAGATCTTTCATTATATGAAATATTGGAAAGTGACTTTGAGTGTCAGTGGTGATTTGTAAGGTGCAGGCATTGTCCTTTTGAGAGATGCTTTTGAACGTACACTTTCTTACTGGGTATGTAACTGCACCAAACTAACAGCGTGCACCAGGCAATAGCAAACTGGGACTTTTATTTAGCAAAGGGGGAAAGAAGGAGGGGCAAGAAATGAAAATGAAAATGTGGAGCTCACCCCATGCAAAGGGTTAAGACATTTTTTTAAAGGAAAAGATTGTGAAAAATATTTTATTCTGTTTATCTATGAACTAAGTGGGGTTTTTTTCCCTTATTTTTAATACAATATGGGTTTTCTAGATACAGAAAATGTAATTTTTAATTTATCTGGAAGTCAGTAACCTAACTGAAACAGCACCACTTCTAGTTCTGTTTATACATTAAAAAATGTCTAGGGGGTGGTATGAGGGCTGTAGCACAGGTAAGGAGCTTGCTGAAGTGGAAATACCGTGTTTGGGATGTGAACTAAAGTGATCTATCACGCTGTACCTGTGCGCTGCTCTTTGAGAAGTTCCCTGCCATGTATCATCATTTTCCCTTTTCCCAAGCGTGCTGCTAAAGTAAAAACCTGCAGCACATTTGTACCAAAACCTTATCTGTCAGCTGTCGGCCTCTCCCAGCGTTTGCTAAAGCTGATGCTTGTTGGCACATGGAACTTTTAACAAAAAGATCAGTTGTACATTTTAAAAAAGAAATAAAGATCACCTGTAAATGTACGTATATTCAGGTCCATCCTCAGTCCATCCCATTTCCTGCATCTTTTTCCGGAGGTGAACAGCTTTTCTGACTGCTGCTTCATACCTCTCGTTCTGGCTCTGGAAATACTCATTTTCTCTGCTAAATTCAGGGTCGGATTCGATAGCTTCAACTGCAAAGCAACATGGCAGAGTTGGTTCTCCTGGGGCTGGAGAGGTGTGGGCAGCACCTCCAGCCCTGCTCAGGAGGAGCGGGCAGGGCTGGGGTTGTGGATACCGGTGCTGTGACTTTCTCGGGTGATGGCAGGCAGGTTTTGTTTTGCAGTGCTGGCTCTGATGGCTGCCATGCCTAACTCTGACAAGCAGTGGGTTTGGGGAAGGAGGAGGGGAACCCAGTGGGCCTGAGAGAGGGGTCTGTTGAGTGGAAATAGCGACCCTGCCAGGTGAGACACCGTCCCTAGTCAGGGTGTTGGAGGTGACCTGGTGCCTCAGGCAGAAAGTGCCATGGATCCCTCGGTCTCTTATTGCTGATCCCGTGCTGTGATGGCAGCCAGAGCTGCTGTTAGCCGGGTTTTGCCTGGATGGCGGCTAATGGCTGGAGCTGCCAGGTGTCCGGCTTGGCACCCGCACTTCTGCTCGGGACTTTGCCAGCCCTTTGCATCACTGTGAAATAGCTCTTGGGCTTGATCTTTCTGTGTTGGCCTGAATGCTCCCGCTGCTCCCTATTTGCCTTGAAGCCTTGAGTCCATTCGTGTTTAAGATTATACTGGACTCCAGCGGCACAGCAAAGCGTGCAATCCCAGTGGTCTGTGCCATTTTAATTTGGGTAGGGTGGAAATATAGGTGTAGTTACAGAGACAAAAGAGGTTTTGTTTTTTTTTCTCTGTTCCTTTTGAGCTGACAATCATTTTTTTGGCACGCTCATCAAGGGTGAGAGCAGCTCAGCCTGGCCGAACCAACACACGCAAGGAATTCCCCACCTGGATGAGCCTGATGTGCCAAGGAGGGTCATTGACTGTGGTTCACTCATGGCATGCATTGCTGTGCAGCAGCACGAGCCCCCTCACACAGAGATGCTCGTCTGTGTGTCCTGCAGTCCTTGTATTCCAGTTTAACGAGTCTTGTCAGAGATACTGGGGATGGGAGCAGGGAAGGGGAAAAGCTTCTGATGGGGAGTGGCTGCAGAGGAGTCGTGTTGATTTATACTAACAGGGGACGCCATCTCCACGCTCCCACTTTTTTAAGAGATGAGCAATAAGCAAATACCCAGGAGCACAAAACCCACTGTGCTGCAAAGGAGGAGCAAAACCAGCGGGGACGTAGGCACGCTTTGTACCAGCCCGCAGCCAGGAGCTCGTAAGGCTCACTCACCCACCGCCCTCCGTATCCGAGTGCGCTCCACGCCGCCGTCCAGCAGGACCATGAGCTTTTCCACACTGAACGAGGCCGTTTGCCTCTCGCTGGCGAGGTCAGGATTCACGCTGCCGAGGACTGAGCCCTGCGAGTACTTGTTGGTCTCCAGCAGAGCCATCCTGGAGGCTGAGCTGCTCTGGGAAGGGATGGGGCTCGTTCAGCTCTGGCACCCCTTCAGTGGGTGCTTGATGAAGGTGTTGGGAGGTGTGAGGAGCGGTTTCAGAGGCTGTACCTGTACAGGGGTTGCGTGAATATTTAGGCACTGTCTTGTCCTCGTTGCGATATAGACAATGAAAATTTAGGTCACTTTTAAGAGTTCAAAATGCAGGTTTTATGATGTTATTTTTAAACATAAAATCTTTTTCTTTCACTGGTCTGTGCCCAGTATTTTATGAGAAGTTACTGCTGGAATATCCCACAACTATATGTGGATGCTTAAGGGAGCTTCTGGCCCTGTCCCATTCCGCCCCTGACGCTGGCTGCTGCTGCTGCCACCTAACCCACAGGCGCCTGCTGAGAGGCTTCCCGACCTGCACTTGCAGCTCTGCCCGTGCTGCCTCCATCCTGCTTCCCACAGGGCTCGGTTTTACATTAACTCCTAAACTTGTAATTCCTGTGTTAGCAGGATTTGCTGCAGAATACTAATAAAAAAAGAAAAAGGGGTGGTGTGTGGAAAACAAATCAGGTTTGTCCCTTTAAGAGGCTGCCAGCCTTCCTGAACTATTTTTAATACTGTAAGAAATTTAAACTCTGTAAACTCTTGCAAATATGTGCTTAATTCCTGCTTTTCTGATTTTCAGACCTTTAATTCAAGGTGTTGGGAGGGAGAAAAGCCTCAAAGCAGCATGCTGAGTACACAAGATTGAAGTAACTCAGAGCTGCCCTTGAGCCATCCCAGGAAGCACTGGGCTCGGCGCTGGAGCACTGAAACAGCTCAGCTGCCAGTTCCCTCTTCCGCGAGGCTACGTAAGAAAAATCCGTGTGTCTGTCCACCATGTGCGAACGCAAAACCCCCACGTACCTTGTCCCACGCGCCCTTCGGGGAGCTGCTGCCTACCTGCCTGGGCCGTGTTCCCGCTGTCCTCGCTGCACGGACCTTGTCCCCGCGGCCAACGGAGCTCGTCCTGGCCCGTGGGTGTTTCTGCGTGTGCGCAGCAGCGTGTTGGAGCTGACCTCTGCAGGGGCGGAGGCCTGTGCTCCCGCTAGGCGTAAAATCCCACAGCTCCCAGCAACGAAAGAGCTGGAGATGCTGCATTTTTTTTAAAAAAATGCTGTTTTTCGGATCTTACTTCAGCCCATTTGTACGTTGGAGGCTGCACTTCCAGCTCTGTCACTGACATGAGACCCTGCCCTTCTCCCGGTATTTAAATTTATTTTTTTTTCGTAGTCTGCTTGTGATGGAGGGGAGCCCCCCTTGGGCTCTCGCTGCTCCTTGCCTGTGGATTTGACTTGCTCAGGGTTTTCCCAGCTCAGTTATGGCACTGACCTCGGCCCTTCCCGCAGATTGGGCTGCAAGCCTGGAGATCAGGGGTGCGCCCCACAGGCTGCGTCGTGCCAGGGGACGGAGGGAGGTTGCCATGGGGTGTGTGCTGCCTTCATCTTTGTCAATCCTGAATCTGTCCCTGCTGCAGACTGTCCTGGTGTCTAATGGGCAGGAGCTGGCAACTCGCACCCCCCTGGCTACATCAGTGTGAGCCTGACGGGAGATGAGTCCCTCCTGCCCACAGTTGCTGCTGCTTCTGACCTGCTTGTCTCTCGCTGGAAACTGCTTTGTCAGCGAAGGAGGTGAAACAGGTGGGATTCATCGTACCATAGAGTTATTTTAACATGGGAAGTTATACAAAGGATGGGAAATCAGATGTCGTTTTGCATAACTATAATTTCAAGCTTGAGCCTGAGTGAACCAAGCCCAGCAGCAATGAGGTGCAACAATAAATCAGAACAGCTGACTGTAATGCAATGAGTGTGCTCATGGGCAGTGGGTGGTGTGTTAGGGGTGAGTCTGGTAGGTTAAAGGTGCTCTGTGGCTCTGTCACCCTGCCAGCACAATAGGTGTCCCATGGACGTGCTGCTCGGTATTGCAGTCCGTACTGCACAGCATCACACCCTACGGTGACTCGGGATTGCCAGTGCTTGGGAGACAATAGCATCTTTCTGAAGTTATCCGTGGGCTTTCTCTATTTGCTCTGCTGTTTTCTTCTGCTAGAGTCAGAAGCACTCAGACTTGTCCTTCCTGAGTGCTATTTGCAACCCAGCTAGCAGGTCTGGGTCTCCTGAAGGAAGAATGAGGGATAACAGGTTGGAAGAAGCCTGTCCCTAAACATATTTTGCAACTTGGCGTTCATGCAGGCTCATATTTGGGCAGGCTCTGGTGCTGCCTGGGTAGGTCATCACCAGTCTGCGTCAGGGAGGTCTGAGCTGGAGCGCCACCGGATCTGCACACTCGGCAGCGTTCTTGTATGCTTTGGCTCCCCATGCCCGTGGGGTGCCCAAAGATCTCTCCGGCTGTGGTGGGAACCAACAAAATCCACAAGGGCACCCGGTGCATGGTGCAATTACTATGTTGCTGATAATTTTGCGTTTTTCCCCATTTGCATAAGCCTGGATATCCCTGGTATCGTGTCTGAGTCAGAGGTTTCATATGGCGCTTTTATCAACACAAAACCAGTCAGTCTACGGCAGTTTTAGATGATTTTGGGAAATGACCTAAATATAGAGAAATACCTAGGATACGCAGAGGAGAGTTCCTGAGAAGGGATGTTCGGTCAGTCAGGGCCAGTCTGAGGATACCGCTAGCTTGAGGAAGAAAACTAGAATTTGCCATTTCTGAGGCAGTAAATTAGACAGTAAAATATAAGGCTCACCTGACAGGACATTCCACTGCGGCAAAATATCTAGGAGCGCTTCAGAAGTGAGTGCATAGGAAAAGAGGTCTCAGCGTGACCTGGATAAATTGCAAAGCTGATATTGAGAAATCTGGCAGTAAGAAAAACCCTGGCAATGGAGCAGTTTGTGCATAGCTGAGAGACAGCGTATCTTTAAAGAACAGAAATGATTGTTTCTTACTCTCTTCCATAGAAAAGGAACTGCCATGACATGAATGACCGCCTTTGGCAACCACGTGTGATAGGAGGGATGTGATCAGTGTAAGCAGTCTTGCGGCATAGCCCATCGAAACCTCCCTGGTTGTGGCTGTGAAAGGTTGATAAAGCATTCACAAAGTCCTGCCTGAGTCCCCTGGTCTCGTGTCTCACCAAAGGCCGCTCTCTCCGGTGAAGACAATTCCCATTGTGTGGTTTGTGCCAGGGAATGAAGTACGCAACCTGCCATGGTAGGGTAACAAGTGAGCTATTATTATAAGCGGCAACAAGGTGAGAAGATGTTTTGGAAACCTGACCCGAAGAACAGATTTAGTCAATGAGCTCTCATCCCTAATGATGAGCTGACTGCCCACACCAGTGCCACAGGGTGTGGAGGGTTGGGAACGCTGTGTACCTCCCAGTGTGGCAACACCAGCGCATACCTTGTGTCAGAGAAATGCATCCAAGCACCATCTCTGCTTGGTTCTGAGCGGGAATGGTGTCTCTGCCATTAAGGATATCACCGATGAGACATAAAAGTCCTTTTTGTTTGCTTTGCTGCATTTGGTTTTAGTCCTGGCTCTCGGGGAGCATGGTATGACCTGCATGTGTGAAGCATCCTCTCTTTTTCTTACCTGTTTAGTCTGTGGTCTTTGATTGCTGCTAAAACACTTTAAAAATGTTTAAAAATAATGAAGTGAGCTCACTAGTGTGAGGATTACTTCTCAATTCAAAACTGAGTTTTTAAATTAAATCCAAGGTCAATGTGTTTCCTTGGCTTTGTGGATCTTTCTTACCCTGTCAGGCAGGTGGGCATCCATGGCCAGTTAGAAATCAAACATATGGGAAGTTTCAGTGCACAAAGCCTGATTCCACAATTTTTGTGCCCTTAAACTTTCAGTAAATTGAGATGAAGTCTGGGGATAAGCAATGGATGCAGCACTGGGTGTGGATAATGAAACCAGTTCATTGATGAATAAGTTAACACAGCACTAACAAAGGAATTGCTGTCAGACTTCACTGATTTTTATGTTCAGTCAGTTTATTTGGCTGTTGTCTGCTTGCATCCTTTTCAATTCTCTTGCAACTTTTTCAGTTCCTTGTGGAAAAGAGCAAAATATACAATCATTGTTTAGTTTATTTCTTCAGCAGTGTCCACATTAAACAGTGTGAGTTAATTAAGTAGAGTTGCATGACACATATTTTTATATAAATGTATAAACACCAACACAGAATATAGACTATATACCACATAGGCAACATACACAGTGCAAAAAATTGTCTTCCATCAATGCTCTGATAATCTTCTGGATACACCATGTTTATTCAGGAATGTGTTTTAGGGGCATAGGGAGGAATTCATTTAAAAGAGACATAAAGACACCCCAAAATCTTCCTGGTGATGCCTGCACTGCTGTTTTTTTCAGGTGCCACCTGCACGCCACCACGCCATGAAGCACAAGAGCATCGGTGAAGGTTGCACAGGCTCCAAGCCTGAGCCCAGCTGGGGAGGCAGTTACGCCGGGGTGAGAAGGGCGGTGTTGGAAAAAGCTGTGTTTTTTTTAGCCAGCACTTGAAAGGTAAAAGCATCATTTCCCACGTGCCATCACGGAGGGCTGGAGCCAGCAGCTCTTGCCGGGACGAAGCGCCGTGTGCCCCACTGTGTGCCATGGGGCTGCTACAGCCTGCCCTGGCCCCGCTGCTTGTGGCCGGTTTGGTGGGCCGGTGTGCGGACGTGTGGCTGGGTCCTGGCTCACAGCCCGTGGGGTCCCAGTGGGCAGCTGGGTCAGGGCTTTCTGCTGTTTCTCCACTGCTGGAAGGACTTCTTGTGGCTCTATTAGCTCAGCCTGAGTGAGGACAGTATGACCTGGCCTTCCCTTTCCCTTCTGGAGACCCGACCCTCGCTTTTGCTTCTAGACACCCACTGAAAATGACCCAGACACCCCTTGGCAATCACGGACTGTGCTGGTGTGCAGCCACACTCTGTGCTTGGTGGACACCACATCAAAGGGAGACACCTTGATTTTTTTTTTTTTCC